TGTGTGTGTGTGTGTCTGTGTGTGTGTGTGTGTGTGTGTGTGTGTTCTCACCCCTCAAAGCAGTGCGCTACAGTTAGTGCCCACTTGTTCCCGATGAGCACACAGCCACAGATGTGTCCGCTGGGTTCACTCTGTAGAGAGCACTGCCACGGCCACCGGCCCAGACGACTAGTGCGGCCTCCCAGAATCCTCTTCACCATCCGGGCAGCAGGCCGACGGCCACATTCTGAAACACAGAGGACAAACAGAGATAGTGGACCCTTTTCACAAGACTGTGATGACACGTGTAACCGTCATCAGCATCATAAAACTCAAAGGTTTTTCATATTTGTATTTTTTTTTAAATGTATGTACATTTATAGCACTATTCTTTGTATTGAATCACCTTTGCATCAAATTACAAAAAAAACAGTAAACGCTAATGCGAGGATGTTTCTAATGCAGCGTCTATGTGAGGGACGGTACATTTGACATCGTTCTCTCTTCTGACTGCCGTTATCAGTCTCTCTCAGTTTTTTCCCTTTTATTGAAAGTCATGAAGACACTATCGTGGAGTTTTTCTTTTGCTATCTGAGCAAATGGGAATGCATAAAATATATGTGTGGTACTCTCCCATTCACTGCTCTTCAAATTAACCCAACTATGACGACTTCCGCTGCTGAGAATCACGCAAATGTGCAAAGGTGTGTGTGTGAGTGTGTGTGTGCCGCTCATACATACTGTCTCTTGTGCACTTCAGTGTGATCTTCTTGGATGATGTGCAGCTCTGCCTGCAGACAGGAAATTATGTTGATCAGTGTCATCTGATGGATTGAGTTTCCAAACATATTTAACATGGATTATGTTGCATTTTTGCTGCTGTCGTGTGTGTGCAGTAAAACACACACACACACTCATGTATTAATGTTGAGAGGAATCAGGAGTGAGTGCAGAGGCGTTGTGAGTGCTGTGTGAGCATAATCTTTCTGTAGTTTCAGACTAATGTCAACATGTATTTACTCATCTCACTCGCACAGAAACAGATTCAGTATTCCTCAAAATTAATAAAAACAGCGAAATGCAAACTCAGAATATGACACAAACCTGCAATAATTGAGTATGATAAATAACACAAATATCCTTTATGTATTTAATCCCATTTTATTAACCAATAACTTTGCTGCTGACCTTCAATGATCCAATTTAACAATACTAATAAGCAAAAATGACTTCAGACAAACATTTGTGTTTGTAGTGTTGAACTTTCTTCTCCTGCGTCCTATTCGGTTAAGGCTAGATGGGATACAGCTAGAGGGGTAGGTTTAGGGTTGGGTTGGTGTAGACATTAAAACAATTTTATAGGTAGCAAATTTAATTTATTGTTACTTATCGGCTGTAGCTGTATCCCCTCTAGCCATAACCGTCCTATTCTTCATGCAATCCAGAACAACAGCACAGCTCAAATGCACCCTCTACTGTACAGAAAAAGTGAATTTACACTTCCTTCAGCCTGAGGCTTATTCATTTTACTTTTGATGTGAAAGGGATTTAACATTTGCCAAAAATAGAACTTTTTAATATATTAATTAGTATGTAACCCCTCTCTCCCGGGTCCTCACTGCCACACCACGTTCCGAGTGGCTCTCGAACTCGAGTCTCCGGTATGGGAGGCAGGCGCACTAACAAGGAGGCTAAAGACTGCAGCCTCTAGCATCAGTCGCTAGTGCGTCTCTTGAGATCAGGGGAGTGAGGTTTACCTGCACAGCACCTACTCGCTGGCCTCCGTTATATATATATATGTGTATGTATATATATATATAAAAGCAAGCCCAGCCCAGATGAAAAAAAGTAAAGCAAAAGTAACACAAAAGTAATGCAATTAGATACTTTTTTAGGGAGTAATGCAATATTATAATGCATTACTTTTAAAAGTAACTTTCGCCAACACTGATAATTATTACAAGCAAGCATCTATAATATAACCCCAATTCCAGAAAAGTTGAGTCATTTTGTAAAATGCAATAAAATCAAGAATCTGTGATTTGTTAATGCTCTTTAGCTTTTATTTAACAAAGTACAAAGAAAAGATTTCCGAAGATTTCACTGACTAACTTAAATGTATTTTGTAAATATAAACAAATTGTTATTTTGATGGCTGCAACACACTCCAAAAACGTTGGGACAAAATAAAAGTGAAAAGGTTGCATTACTCTCCTAAAGAGAGCAGCCCGGAAAATGGAGCGCAGCTGGAGGGAAACAAAACTAGAGGTATTTCGTATTGCTTGGCGGGAAAGTACCCTATCCTACAGAAAAACATTAAACACGGCTAGATCAGTATCAGTAGACGTATAGACGTATCAGTAGATGCATGCCAGGGGTGGAACAGGCATGCAAGAGGATTTTACCCTCGCTGCCTGGCTAGGGCCAATATAGCCTGTGATGTGGACGAGATTCTCTGACCTGACCCAGAACAAAGATAGGATGCTGAGGCGGAATGATTTTATTATA